TCTATATCTATATATATATATATCACTGTTTACCTCTATCCCCTTTAGCCCTTGCATACCTCTTTGTGTCTTCACCTGTCTTTATTATTCTTCTGCCAACCTCCCTCTTCTTGCATATTGCCCTCCCCTCACCCAAGTTAACATGTGTCTACCCTCAAGCCAGTGAATGACTCTTTCCTATGCCTTGTAACCATCAAAGAATACTTCTTTGAGCATGAAAGCCTTGAGTCTTTACAATAGTGGTCTCATACAACGTATGTCTTTTTGTGATTGACTAATTTCACTCAGCATAATGTCCTCTAGGTTCATCAATGTTATGTAGATTCATGTTTCATAGATTCATTGTTATTCTTAACTGTTGTGTAGTATTCTCACGTGTATATGTACCAAAGTCTGTATAGCCATTGTTCCACTGATGGCTATGTAGGTTGCCTCTATCCTTTTGCTATTGTGAATAATGCTGAAATGAACATGGGTGTTTATAGTATTTACTGGTCCCACAGCTCTTATTTCTTGGAGATATATACTAAGTACAAGTATTGCTGGGTCATATAGTATTGCTATTTCCAACATTTAAGAAGCACCACACTGTTTTTGCAATGGTAGAACTTACCAGCAAGGTAGGGGGGCCCCAGTCTCTCCACACCCTCATAGGCATTTGTTGTTTTCTTTCTCTCTCTCTCTTTTTTTTTTTTAACTTAGCTATAATGCTGGGGTGAGGTGATATCTAATTTTGCTGTTTTGATTTGAATCTTTCTTATGGCTGTTTGTGAACATTTTTCATATGTTTGTTGGCTGCCTTGGAGAAGTGTCTGTTCATTTCCTGTGCCCATTTTTAAACTACGTTGTTTGTCTTTTTCTTGTAGAGGTGTTATAGTTTTCTAAAAATTTTATATGTTAGTGCCATGTCTGATATGTCATTGTGAAAAAAAAAAAACAGTCTATAGGTTCTTTTTACTCTTTTGGTGAAATCTTTTGATGCATGTAAGTGTCTTAAGTTTTAGGAGATCATGTGACAGAATTTTGTAAGATTAATAACTTATTCATTGCAAATATCTTTTTATAACAAAATAAATCACAACTACACACTTGGACCTCACCAGATGAAACACACAGGCAACAAGATGACTACGTACCTGGAAAGTGACAATGGAGAAGTTCAATATCAATATCATCAGTCAGAACAAGGCCAGGGCCAACTATGGAAAGACCATCACTTGCTTATAAGCAAGTTCAGTTGAAGCTGAATAAAATGAAAAAAACAAGTCTACAAGAACCAGAAAACGATCTTGAATATATTCCACCTAAAGTTAGAGACTATCTCAAGAACAGATTTGATGCACTGAACACTAATGATTGATGACCAGAGGAGTTGATGACTTGCCGGGCATTATATATGGAAAAAGGAAAGAGTCATTAAAAAGGCAGGAAAGAAAGAAAAGACCAAAACAGATGTCAGAAGGCACTCTGAAACTTGCTTTTGAACGCAGTATAGCTAAAGCAAATGAAGAAATGATGAAGTAAATGAGCTGAAGAGAGATTTCAAAGGGCACCATTAGAAGACAAAGTAAAGTATCATAATGAAACATGCAAAGACCTGGAATTAGAAAACCAAAAGGGAAGATAGAGAGCTACTGGACCCCAAACAACTGACAGATGTTCAACCATTTCACAAGATAGCACAGGATTATACAGAGATGGATGGAAGAAGTCCAAGCTATACTGAAGACACTGGCCAAAAGCAAGGTTCCAGGAATTGACTGAATACCAACTGAAATGCTTTAGCAAACAGAAATGATATTGAAGGTGCTCACTCATCTATGCCAGGAAATCTAAACGATAGGTACCTGGCCAACTGACTGAAAGAGATCCATATTTATGTTAATTCCAAAGAAAGGTGATCCAACAGGATATGAAAATTATTAAATAATATCATTAATATCACAGGCAAGTACCTTTGTGCTGATAATAATTTCAAAAATGGTTGCACCAGTACATCGACAGGAAGCTGCTAAAAATTGAAGCCCAGATTCAGAAGAGGATGTGGAACTAGGGATATCATTGCTGGCAACAGATATATACCAGAAAGATGTTTATCTGTGTTTCATTGACAATGCAGTTGCATTTAACTGTGTGGGTCATTACAAATTTTTAATAATAATGCAAAGAATGGGAATTCCAGAACACTTAATTGTACTCATGTAGAACCTATACACAGACCAAGAGCCAGTTGTTCAGACAAAACAAGGGGATACTGAGTGGTTTTAAATCAGGAAAGATGTGCTTCAGGATTATATCCCTTCAACATATTTATTCAATCTACATGCTGAGCAAATAATCCAAGAAGTGGGCTATAAGAAGAAGAATGTGGCACTAGGATTTGAGGAAGACTCATTAACAAGATACAACCTCACTCATTACAAGATAATACAACCTCACTTGCTGAATGTGAAGTGGACTTGAAATGTTACTGCTGTTGTTAGGTGCCATTGAATTGGTACTGACTTATAGTGACACTATGCACA